GCCTTTTCAAGGAATCGAACCAGGGTCTCTACATTGACGAAGCTAACACCCAACCACTACGCTATTACGCTGAACAGATAAGATATGAGTAATTGTTTGGGTGATTAAAGATTTAGGCGATAAATAGTTTTTTTTTATATAAGAATAATTTACACACCTTTTTGTCAATATTGATTTAAACAAACAATGAAAGGAATAGCGTATTCGAGCATTTGTGGTTTGAACAAATTTGATTGGCAAAACACTGGAATTGTGTTAAGTGATCAGTTGTCCATTGCATTTTTAGCTTCTATTTGAAACTATTTATATTTATATGAAATACAACAATATTTTGAAATCCCGATAAACCAACGGAGAAATTTGGAGCAGACTACAGTTATGTAATGGTTTCTTCGATGACTGATTAACTAACAGGTAGACAAGTTTGCTTCTTTAAAGAAGCATACGAGAGGTCTTTTTGCTGCTGTGGAAGATTGGTTTAATGCAAAAAAATCGGGATATATTTGCATAAAAGACACAATAAATGGTTATAAATTACAAATATTTAACAAAAAAGAATTTATTATATATATTGAATATAGTATCATAATGAAAGTTTGTTTTATACATGTTTTGAAAGATTATATGCCGGAGAAATGGACTTTTTTCTTGGCGCATTAGGGATACTTTTTCAACAAAGGGAATTAAATTTAATGTTAACGATATATATATTAAAAGTAGTATCAAAATAAAAGTTTTCTTGCAAAATTCAATAAGCAAATTTTCGGTTAATGTTTTGGTAAGTATATGGAAACATTTCTTCTACATTTTCCAAAACGGGCATAAAGTATGTCAATCAAACAATTTAAAGTCCAGGATTCACATAAAAAATGTTTATATCATTTGATTGGAATGAAGAGTATATAAAGCTGCACGCCTTCAACAACAATATTTGAACAAAATCAAACTTGGGTTAAATTTGTACCATTTGCGCCAAATAATCTCTGTTGCGTTATTTTGTCATATCGATTCAAAAGTTTAAGGAGCAGCAAAGTTTCGGTACACGGTTCACTCGGTCATATAATAGTGCATGGTGATATTGTAGCTATAATGTTCACTGTTACTATTGATCGGAACATGAAATAGTAAAACGCTATCCAGAAAACAATACGGTAATCGATTTATACAGTTTAAAAGATTAAAACGGAATGAAACATCCACGTAGCACTAAGTAACATAACTGATATTTTCAGATTTTTCTATGTACCAATTTGTTCACACTGATTCGTTTAAGTTAAGTCGTATTTTGAAACGACGCATGCGCAAAACAATATTTGTAGACTGCTCCTTATGATTTTACGCTTTAAAAGAGATTCATTTACTACAATCAGATACGCAAAAATGGATGCCGCCAGCAATCAGTCTGATCACTGTGGAGAGGTCTGATGAGCTCTCCAATAAATGCAACATACTACTGTTAGATAGTAGAATAGTAAATTAAAACTTTGTGTTACCGTATTGTCAGTAAATTAATTATTGATAATTATTCAGATAAACTCCTCTATATACATATATATATATATATATGTTCCTTGGTGATATAATGCAATTTAACTAAGTGATAATGAAGCAGAGTAAAAACCAATTTCTGAACCATTGAAAACTGTCAAATAAACATTTGAAACACGGTCTGCTATATAAATAAAAAGTTTCACTTTTCAAGGATCACTTTGTTCCCATATTTTTTACTTTTACCGAATAAAATAATAAATAAAAAAATATTAATATTATAATTGTATTAAGAAATTAAAAAAGATAAATATTATTGTCAGTATTGAATAGTAGTTTGTGGTCCTCCTGGGCTGCTTGCCACTGGTTCTTGTTGCTGGGTCGTGTTTGCGTTCCTTGAACACCGCCTTTCCTTGTTGATCTTGTTTATTATGTTTTTGAACTCACTCATAGTAATAATTTATTTTTGAACTCATATATAAAATTTTGAGCAATGGAATAGAATAAATAACTAGTGCTGTTATCTTAGTTTGAGTTAAATAAAATAAAATAAAAATGAATATACATGAATTTATTCTAGTACTGAATTAAATAAATAATAACTTTAGAATAAAGTTGTAGGTAAAGGTTGTTTTCACCTCTTACATGAATTTTAAATATGTTTTTCAAAACTTTTAAATAAAAAGCTGTCCTATTGAAATTTACAACATTTTTCAAGAATAATATTTATATTAAAAGAACACAGTAGAACGGTTGTAACTTAAAAATATATATGAAGTATATAAAGTATATGAAATGAATTGCATCAAATCAAAGACTTTATTTGAATTTGATATTTGTCATAGGCCAATGCAATGAACAAAGAATTTGATTTGGAAAATACAAGGTTAAACATTTTTTTGTAAAAGGAAACTTAATGTCGACTCAAGAAAGGAAAGAAGTGTCTATTCATATCAATAACATATTTTGGCAAAAAAGGTTAAGAAGTACACTTATTCTTATCTGCGGTAATACTTATTGTCTTTTACAAAACCTTTTAACAAAGGTTTCTGCAAATTTCATCATTTTATTCTTACTCTATATCAAACAAATTGTTAAATAATTCAAGTAATTAAGAAATTGAGAGGTAACAGAAATAGTGTGCTTAATTTAACGAACTTTTTATTATAAAATTATTACTAACATTAACTTTTTTCCCGATAAAATGATGAATGCTGCATATAGGTTACAAAGATCTATTCATATATATTTCGAAACGATCACGTTAAATTAAATAAGTTTTGACAATTTTGAAATGTTAACGCTTCGTGTTTTCTCTTTCCTTTTTTTTCGCAAGTAAACACAGATAGGAATGCCTGTGACTGAAGTGAATTTGAAGATATTATAATCTTAGTCAAACCTTTTCACTGTTAATCGACTTGTAATTTGTCAATTTTGTTGCAAGAAAGTGTTAATACCAGGCTCTATGATTTATATTGATAATTTCGTTTCTGATGCGGAAATATTAATCATTCAGGTGTACGGTCTACGTGGTCGATTCTTACACATCAACACATCAAAACGGTTTAAAATATCCGATAAAACGATAACGTCTCCAAAAGATCATTATTAACACACATGAGCTAAGATAAAGCATCCAATTTTAATGATGAACGAACGTTATGCTGATTTCTACGCTTCAATTTGAGTTAATCAATTTTATCACATAACCCAAGGCGCAGGTATGTAATGAAGCCATTTAAATGAAATCGATAAGTCTTGTAAAAATAAAACATTTTTGACATCTTGCCATTTGCATTATATAGAAACATAGCGCAGAAACCCCGCAAATTATAGGCGTGTCAATGAAAAAAAGTCTTTTGGCAATCGTTCTTGTTTTGGACATATTATAAACAGAAAACAAATTTATTATTTTTGTGCAGATTAGATGGAACGTTGAATATAACAATGATATGTTCGCCAGTGTCTAGAATAATATGATTTTATACAGCTCGTTCAATAAAATATAGTAATACTATACAAATTGAATACATCATGTTTGTAACCTAGCTTTGTGTAAAGATTGCAATAAAACGCTCGCCAAGGGAATAAATCTATCAAAGATGTTTATAAACAATAATGTAAATGTACGCAAGGAAAATAAACTAATTTAGAAGAATTGATTAAAAAATTAGGAATGCATAAATAAACAAACATTGCTTTTGGAAAGTACAAATTATTAAATAATTCATTTATTACATTGGACGGTCGTGATATGCATGTTCGACATATGAAATTTATTATTGTTTTCTTCCTGAATAAATAACGACGCTCTTTAAAATAAATACTGCATTCATATTTGTAAATTATCGACATCCATCTGTTTATAATTGAATTAAAATACTTTCTAAGCTCTCTGAACTCAGGAATATATTCGATATTGACATACCTCCGAAATGTATTGCTAATATATATCGCTATTAGTAAGTGTGTTTGTTCAAGAATTAATTCGAACATTTGTACATTAAAAAATGTTCATAAAATTAGGAACTTATTTTGATTTCAAATTTGTAATAAAGAAGAACTTGTCTTGGAAAATACAAGGTCGAATAAATTCGTGTTATTTAAAATAAAACATTATTTTAAGCTCAAGCCGGTGCTATGGGGCGTGAGGGATGTTGCATGTTTTCATTATCCCTCATGTACAGACTCAATCAAACCGAGTTTGCAATTCTCTTGTAATTTTGTTGTGATTAATGCTTCCGAGGTATCATTTCCAGATTATTATACTTCACAACAGCAGGTGTCAAGTGCTGTATGGCAGCTGTAAAAAGTTGCCTCGTACTTCACTTCAGTGTTGATATACTTTTCTGGTCCTTCGAGATCATTGATGCCAGCACTATTGAGTGTTGAGAATTGAGTATCCCTCAAGCCGGTGCTAGTTGGCGTGAGGGATGTTGCACGTAGGGTTCGGCCTTATTTTACTTATAATCAATAATTATGAGAGCTATATAAAGACCTACTAGCATTGTATTTTTTAAATACAACTTATTCTTATAGTTTATGTTAGATTTATTTGTGGCTCGTGTGAAGGATTCATGGGTGTTTTGTTTTTTATTCTTATACTGATGTTCTTTTATCATGGACTCACATTCGCGTTATCATAAGCTCAAATTATTTTTCATAAAGGTCTCATGTAAGAACAATTAATGGTTCGTGTTACCTTCAGGATGCCCAATTGCTTTACCTTTACCTTGTGTTCAAGTAAGAACATTAATAAAGACATTATATTATATTTACACAGCATAAAATCTTTAATATTTCTAAATACAAACAATGTCCCATAAGTTGTACATTTACTTTGTATCATCAACAGGGACTTTGACTAAATAATATCACCATGACCTTTCAAAAAACAATACTTTTAATCAGATACAATGTATATAGATCACCTAGAACATTACATCAATACCCAGTACCTAAGTTTTAATGCCATCTTAAGTAAATAAACAACACCCAGTCTATCAGAACGTACTTTATTATTGATATTCTTTTAATATTTGCTGAATTTGCTTGGTTTGAATCATTTCAATTTTGAAAAGAATAAAACAACAACTAAACAAACTATTGTAGAAAGTACATCTTTTTAAATTCCTTTTCCTGGTAAGTTCTTTCGTATTTCTGAAAGAGAAGAAAAACATTTTATTCACAGAATAGCTATGTTGTTACCTTTTTCTACCGAAAAGATGTTTAAATATACTTTATGATTCTTTTTTGAAATTAAATATTATCTATTTCTATTGAGTTTGGTTTATTTTTTTTATTGTTTATATCAACAAACTTACTAAGCTGGCGATACAATATGATACACTTAAACATAAAGTATCATTAAAGTATCAAATTGTCATTGTTCGTTAACAGTAATAGAATATAAGACACTGGACTTTATACATAAACTCCGACAACAAACGTTAAAATGAACAATTTTCTAGTTATTAAAGGAAACGATATTTATTATTTCTGTCATAGTCATAAACCGTTCACTTATTGTCAACCTTGATAAAGATTCAAAACAGTAAGCGGAGGTTCAAGGATTTCAATCCTTGGTCTACAAATAATTCCGTGTGACACTGACACTATATAGTTACAGCAATGAAAGAACGCTACAAAATATCTTATTTACATCAATTGTTATTTCAACAATTTAAAAATGTAATTACTATTAAGACTTTACTCACAGGGTGACATTTCGCACAAATAATACATTTTAAATACACAATCTTCTGCAGTCCAAGGTGGATCGTAATAAAGGTAGACACAATCGTATTCAGGACCATTAAACCTAATGTTTTTCCCTAATATGGATGTGTCAAATGGTGCTCCTGAATATTCCCACAAAAATGTACCTTCTGATTTGATATCGTTTACTCCTAGCCAAACACCTGAAAAAAAAATATTTCATGATCCCATTGACAATTTTGTTTCTTAAGATATCAAATGTTCAAAAATTACGTTGTACCCCTGTTTTTATGGGAAACAAGAAGCATTTATAGACTGTTAAATATTCCGTCGACAGAAAAAGTGTTATAGAAAAAGGATCATTCATTGGCACCGACTGACATTAAAAATAAGAAAGAGGTTTGTGATAATAGCTAAATTTTTCTGCTAAAAGTGAAACACTTATAAAAGAGGAATAACTCAGAAACCGTAAAAGGGTGGAGCTCTCATTCCGATTCAATGCATTTCTCTTCAAGAACCTCTGGCTATATATTCGATTATCATGCTTATGTGTACAGTTAGTTATAGGTCCATCCGAAGCAAGCACAGTTTGTGTTTTTATGTGATGCACTTAAATTTTAAGAACTACAAATGATAACAAAGCGTATTTTTTGTAAACAACAATTTATATAAAACATTCACCGAACAGACCCGTGTGCTCATATAGATTTGATAGTTTATCTCATCATCTATGTAATAAGATATACATGCATTTAATTTCATGAACTATATCTATATTAACTGATATATAAATACCCAACTTTTGCTAAGCACCATATGGTTGAGTTTAATTATTATTGGGGCAAATTTTATTAAAGCCATGTGAAAGGTTTTAAATGTTGATTTACTTTTTTATCAATTTAGCTTAAGGACGAATTTAACCCTATGAAATAAGATTTGCTTAACAAGAGGATGACCTCCTCTTTGAAGATTCCAGAACATGCAGCGTGTTTTTAAAATTTGGTAAATTGTCCGTATTAGGTTTTTGATCGTTCTAAGGTCAACCAGGTCGGTTTGTCCATTCCAGCTTATTCCTCCCCAGACCATAACTTATTCCTTAGTGGTCATGCTCAGCCATATTTGCAGTTTGAAACTATTCACCTCATCTTTTAAAGACTCTAGTTAGCCTACCTATGAAGTCTATACAGAACCTGGACTCATCAGTGAACAGAAAGTGTATCCAGTTTTGCATGATCCACGTATATGCTCCATGGTCCATTCCAAACCGGCCTGGCGATGTCGACGTGTCAAGGGGATACGTATGCAAGGTCTTCTCGACCACAAATTACCCTCATACAGCATTGTGCTATCATTTCGAAAAGAAGTCGTTGTTAAAAACATTGCACGACGTGCCTGAACGACCAAAAACCGATCCTGAGCTGGTTTTGTGACGCTTTGCCGACCTCCAGCATGCCTCCTGGCGGTAGTTCCATGTAGCCGGTACCTCGTCCAGGCTTTGGTGATGGCGCTTTGGTGTATACTACACTAAACGCGGCATCAACCTGGCGGAAGGTGGCCACCCTGTTGCACTATCCCTATAGCCCTCCACAACTCTGCTTCTCTCAAATGCCGCCTAATATTAGCACTTGCCATATCAAAGAGACAGATTTAAGATATTTAATCCACTGAATGACAATAGGCCAGTAATCTCGCCTTATAACAAAAGACATATAATTTTGTGCACACAATAATACACATTAAAATATTAGGGTGTATGCATTCAATGCGACCAAGACGAGTTGTAACTAATAATTCAATACGGATAAATTAGGGGACTATCTCAAAACATTGTGCTATCAATCTATTCAAAAATTAAAAAGAAATCTGTTTTAAACTTGTGAAATATAAAATTTAACAAATGATGCTTAGCAAAAGTAGTATATATAATAATCGCACAAAGAAAAACGAATGAACGCATTGAAGGAGATTATTTTTATATCCCTCGCCATCGATTCTGTGCGGAAAAAAACATGTTTTTATTTATCTGAATATACATTTCTTCATACATTTTCACAAAGATACCAGCATATGGACATGAAGGTTTTAATATGGGTTAAAAATTAAATCTTACCTTTCTAGAAAGGTATATAATTAAATTCAAAACGTCTTTAACTGTAAATGTTCTTATTTTTGCGGCGGTTATATTTTGTTACAAATAAATTTCAATATCTATATTGTTCACTGTAAGCTGACACTTTTGTTATAACATTTAACCTTTTTGAGAGTCAAACAAATAGATTTCAAAAAACATAATTACACTTTATATATTGATAACTCTACTCTATAGATATATCACAGTGTATACATTGTTTATGTCACTGGTATAAATGCACATATTCATAGAGATATTTATTATACATTTTTTTTTGTAATGGAAACTAAGTTTATTTTCCTTTGTAAAATTATTCACTACATTACACATGACTTTATAGGTATTTTCGTTGTTAGCAACTGATATGTTCGGTCTTCAATTATTTCTAAATGAAATGTATGATTATAGACACGGCGCGTAGACAGTACCGTTTCAAGTCAAAGGCCATCCCCAAGACCCCCTTCAAAAACCTTGAAGTTAAATTAAATTACGTGAATGAATTTTCTAAATCACAATAAATATGATTGATATTTCACATATCAATATAAAAATATACTATAAATTTATATCAAAGAATACAACGCTCCACTGACTGTTCCCTGAAATTGTGCACTTGTGCAGCTTAGATCGGCATAACGTCATCATGTTTAAGAAAATATTAGAAAAATATGACTGTTTCTAGAAAAAACTGTCATTAAATGATCTTGGGTTTTCATGAAATTTTAAATAAAAAATCATTCAAAAGTGTCCTTTGGAAAAAATCAGATTGCATTATTGTAAAATTGCCAAACTTGAGCTACAGATGTTTGAAGATTATAAAATGGACCAATCAGATATCCAAAATAAAACTTAATTCCAAAGTCCAAACGTCAAAATCAATTCGAACGTACACATGTATGTTTGTATGAATACAACTAACTGGCTAGATCAAAGGGTTCTTTCCAGAGAAATGAGTGTATGCAGGGACGGGTCTAGCTTACACGCCTTCTTTCCGACGTTTAAAACTTGGTAAGTTATGATTTGTAAGAATGTATTATTGGTAAAATTCACAAAATGAACAAAACAACTAAGGAAAGTCGCCATATGGTCTTTATTGTGTTGCTGTGACGTAAACTCAAACCAAAAACATAAAATAATAAGCTGTTCCCTTTCAATGCTATACTGTAATAACGTTTTACTTACTTCTTAAATCGATCAACCCTTTAACAAAATCGCTTTCAGAGGTAGAGGTGATTTCAACAAGGTGTCCTTTTTTTGATTCGCAATCAGTCTGAAGTAGATAAAGCAACTCCACATATTTATTATTTTAAATAAAGCTGAATGTGTCCTATAATATTTTAGTACAGAAGTTTGACGTCACTACTTGTGATCCATTTCGTTTCTCTCTCTATCATTTTCAACGAGAGTTTTTGCCAAGAACAATATAGCAAAGTAGCTTCAAATGTATAGAACTTGTGTCATCTATTTGATACATGAAGTAATCTCTTAATGAAGATATAACTATTACTATTAAATTTAGCTGAAAACCAAAGTGTCTTTAATCAGACTTGTGAGCGAGACGGAAAGATATGTCATTGTTGATGCATTATCAAACTGAAATTTTTGTTTTTATTAGGTAAGCGATTTCACTCTTGTTTAATGTTTGAAAGGAAGTGATATACGGAACTTAAATGATTTGCCTTATAGGGGAGTTGTTTCATAAGGAACTGAAGACATTTTTCGCTTTCTTTAAAACATTATGAAAAACTATTTTAAATAGTAAACATTAAAAACTAATAAAAAATATGTTAATGTACATAATTACAGAAAGTGACATAATTAAGAATAAAAAGCTGTTATTTATACAGTCAAACTAATTGTTCATGGAAACATGCATCTAGTAATTCATTATTACAATTTCTTTGGTTGAATTAATGTTTGCGAGTGTATTCATTTGTTAGAGAATTTTATCAGTGTTTTCAAGATACATGCATGTTTGCACTTTAATTTTATTTTCGTCTTATGTTCTACAGTGACAGAATATATGGTTGTTTTTATAAGAAAAAAAATGTATAGCAAAATATTGACTTAGTATGAAATGATTATACATGTATATCTACAGCACTGCTTGATAAATAATATGCAATAGTCGTAGTATATTATTTTTTAAGAATACTGACCGTTATCATATTTTCAAAAAAACTTATTTAAAACGATATCAATCTAAATCGTATGTTTAATTAAGCAGACATATTTTATCTTTCAAGATAATTACACTGCTCAAGTAAAAATGCACCTAGGTGCATAAAGGCTGTTTCGCATGGAATATACGTTCTTATATTCATATTGGGAACCAGTGTTTCTATAAAACATGTTGTAGATGGAGTAAATAATAAGCTGGACTAACTGCTTAACAGTATAGGATAATAAAAGAAATAATATTACTTTGGCAGTTTCCCATGTCACCAAACTTTCTACAAGCAGATAACAACTATTTTCGAATTTGGTCCATCCTCCAGGACACTCAGGAACTAAAAGAAAACACATAACAACAAAATAACATAACGAGCATTATTAAGGTTAGTGAAGAATTACAATGACATACACAAATATAATGAGCAGTTAGGCGTGAGTCTTTACAACCATATTATCAAACACTTAATATATCATTAAAAAAACGAATTAATAGTTTATTAAGGTGCTAAATTTGTATTACATCAAATACATTAATTTTATATATCAGCTAAATCATTATCATAAATCATTAAGATAAAAATTACACAAAATAGGTTAAATGTTCAACGTCATAGTAATGATGACCTCCGATCATGTGGCCTATGAAAACACGACATGAATGTCTCATACATTAGGTGCAATTTAAGCAAAAAAAAAAAAAAAAAATAACGAAATTGAAATTTATACTTGACGAAAATATTTGAAAAATGCGTAATAAACCATTCTTCTGTTATTGAAAGGACTTCACTTAATCAATAAGTTACATATCAGTAAGTAGATTTTGGGAAACAATTATCTTGCTAAAGATCACAGTGATCTTCAACTTAACACATCATAGACCAAAAATATTATGCTTTATCTGTAGCGTTATCCTATTATGAAGTTGTATTTCCCTATCCAGATTTTTAATTCTTTAATGTTGTCCAAGAGATACATTTCTGAATAGATAAATATAAAGCTTCTATGGCTATAGTCTACACGCTAATATTAAAAAAAATCAAATGAAAAAAAAAAAAAAAAAAAAAAATATAGATTTATAAATCAGTAAAATGTAAAGTGTCATATGTAGTTAGGCGCCACCATTTTTTAATGAAACACTTTTATAATAGGGAGAGTATTCCGAAACGTTTCGGCTTTAAAGTTATCGTCGAAGTGTGCCGAGTGAAAAGAGTATTGGTGAATTAAATACCGAATGACACCTTTTAAACGGAAAATGTTAAGTAAAAAATGAACGATTTTTGTAACCGACTTTCCAGCTCAAAGGCTTTGCAAACAATTATATTTACGTAAGAAAAATTAAATATGACACAAAATAAAGGTGATGATAAAAATTAATCACATATTGTGTAAAAACGTATTAGATAATACGGTGTAATTCTTTATCTTTTTCAAATATTCTATACAGTAATACATATAACTCGTTTATAACTCATTGACGTCCGTGATTATATTGCAATAAAATATACATTAAACATTAATTGACAATAACACTGAATAATAAAAAAGTTTTAAATTGATACAAATTAAGATTGACCTTTAATAGAACATGTTGGTGGTGTTTCCCAACTGCCAGTGTCAAGACAGCTTATTGTCCCGTTTCCATCATATCCACTTTCACAGACAAGGGAAGCGGTTGATCCAAACTTTGTTGCGTTAAAGTGCAACTTACCATTCGTCACATTTAATGGAGACCCACAGTCTGAATAATTGTTAAATTCATAAGTAAAATTTCAAATTTATATCATGACGTAAAACATAGGCGGAAAATGGTTTATATTTTTTGTAATGATTAACAAGAATACCTAGAATGAAAGTATTCCTCAGTATATTCTATTGACAGCGAGTGGGGCATGAGTGAAATGATCGTACAGTGAACAAGAAATAGCTTCTTTATATTTTTGCCCCGGAAAATTTTATCCTATTTCCGTACACTATTTATATAAAACGGTTTAATTTTACCGTTATTTTGTTTCATAAGTAAACATCATAAGACATAGCTTAAAACACTTTAATTTATATTTCATATAAACACGCCAAAATGTATGGAGAAAAGCTTGTCAGGTTTCAAAAAGCACGAATAACATCAAACTTTTTAACAAGGGTAATCTACTGTTTCCTATTCTACCCATTGTCACATAAAAACCAAATTGTAAGCGCGCACGTACTAACACAGGACGTCATGTGGTAAAAAATCATAATAAATCTGATAAAGAATGTTGTTCTTTGTTGAGCTACAAATGTGAGTGAAATATGCTCTGGTCAGCTAAAAATACAAGAAGAATCTTTTGATGTTTGAGTGAGACACTCAGGGGTCGATTGATTGATATATAACATTTTATGTAAGGAAATGCAAGAAAACATATATTTTGTATAAGGTCTTTGGGACATTTATTCTTAAACGTCATTAAACAGAATCAATTGTTTATCAGTAACGTTATTCTACCATGACGTTGTATGTTCCTGTTCCAGTTTTTTTATTCTTTAACGTTGCCCTAGCGGTACATCTTTAAAATAGATATATATAATAATTAAAAAAATAACAAAAGACAAAAAAATGGATGAAAAATATATCAAGGTGATATGCAAAATAAGATAATGTGTACACTACCTATAAGGTAATACGGAGACAGATCTTTTTTCGAATAACCTATACAGTAACAATTATAAAAAAACATTTATAAATCATTAACGTTCGGCCTTACATTGTAGTTAAATGTATACATTACCAATGTATTGACAAAAGTTCTTAATATTAAACAATGTTTTAAATTGATAAAAATTAAAATTGACCTTTAATAGAACATATTGGTAGTGTTTCCCAACTGCCAGTGTCAAGACAGCTTATCGTCCCGTTTCCATCATATCCACTATCACAGACAAGGGAAGCGGTTGATCCAAACTTTGTTGCGTTAAAGTGCAACATACCATTTGTCACTTTTAATGGAGACCCACAGTCTGAATAATTGTTAAATTCATTAGTTAAATTTCAAATTTATATCATGACGTAAATTATAGGCGGAAAATGGTTTATATTTTTGGTAATGATGAACAAGAATACCTAGAATGAAAGTATTCCTCAGTATATTCTATTGACAGCGAGTGGGGCATGAGTGAAATGATCTTGCAGTGAAGAAAAAATAGCTTCTTTATATTTTTGCCCCGGAAAATTTTATCCTATTTCCGTACACTATTTATATAAAAACGGTATAATTTTACCGTTATTTTGTTTCAAAAGTAAACATCATCAGACATAGCTTAAAACACTTTAATTTATATTTCATATAAACACGCCAAAATGTATGCAGAAAAGCTTGTCAGGTTTCAAAAAGCACGAATAACATCAAACTTTTTAACAAGGGTAATCTACTGTTTCCTGTTCTACCCATTGTCACATAAAAACCAAATTGTAAGCGCGCTTGTACTAACACAGGACGTCATGTGGTATTTAAGTCATAATAAATCTTATAAGGAATTTTGTTCTTCGTTGAGCTACAAATGTGAGTGAAATATGCTCTGGTCAGCTAAAAATACAAGAACAGTCTTTTGATATTTGAGTGAGACACTCAGGAGTCGATTGATAAATATATAACATTTTATGTAAGGAAATGCAAGAAAACATATATTTTGTATAAGTGTGAAATACTTGTAAAGTCCAACGTCAAATAACGAAGCTTTGGGCCGGACACTATTTTGCAGCAATGTTATGCTTTTACCTTGACCTTCAAAGTAGCGACCCAAACGTTGCACTCGACACGTTTTCTCAATATTGTGATTATTACTGTGATAAAGTCCTACAATCCAACTTCAAATAACGAAGTTATGGACCGGAATTTTTCGGGGAGCACAACAATTCAAAAATATATAGATTTTTAAATCAGAGAAGTTTTCAGTTTCATATGTAGTTGGGCGCCGCCATTTTCAATGTAAAACTTTGACAAAAGGCGGGTATTCCGATAACGGAACGATTGCAGCTTTTCGACTTATAAATAATCGTCCAGGTGTTCCGTGTGAAAACAGAAGTGGAGCATGAAATACCGGATGACACCTTTAAACAGGAAATGTTAAGTAAACAATGAAGGATTTTTAACCGACTTTCCTGCTCATACGCTTTGCCAAGTTTCATATTAAAGTAAAATCATAATAGAATGAAACAATATAAAGATCATGATAAAAACACAAATTGTGTAAAATACTTATTAAGTTATACGGTGTTATTCTTGATAGATCATTTTCAGATATTCAATACAGTCATACATATAACACATTTATAACTCATTAACGTGCGGCATTTCATTGTAGTAAAAATATACATTACTAATTTCTTGACAAAAGTTCTTTATAATAACAATGATACTAATTGATACAAATTAAGATTGACCTTTAATAGAACATCTTGGTGGTGTTTCCCAACTGCCAGTGTCAAGGCAGCTTATTGTCCCGTTACCATCATATCCACTATCACAAACAAGGGAAGCGGTTGATCCAAACGTTGTTGCGTTAAAGTGTAACTTACCATTCGTCACATTAAATGGAGACCCACAGTCTGAATAATTGTTAAATTCATTAGTTAAATTTCAAATTTATATCATGACGTAAAACATAGGCGGAAAAGGGTTTATATTTTTTGTAATGATTAACAAGAATACCTAGAATGAAAGTGTTCCTCAGTATATTCTATTGACAGCGAGTGGGGCATGAGTGAAAAAACATCGTACAGTGAACAAAAAATAGCTTCTTTATATTTTGCCCCTGAAAATGTTATCCTATTTCCGTACACTATTAATATAAAAACGGTATAATTTTACCGTTATTTTGTTTCAAAAGTAAACATCATCAGACATAGCTTAATACACTATAATTTATATTTCATATAATCACGCCAAAATGTATACAGAAAAGCTTGTCACGTTTCAAAAAGCACGAATAACATCAAACTTTTAAACAAGGGTAATCTACTGTTTCCTATTCTACCCATGGTCACATAAAAACCAAATTGTAAGCGCGCACGTACTAACACAGGACGACAAGTGGTAAAAAATCATAATAAATCTTATAAAGAATTTTGTTCTTCGTTGAGCTACAAATGTGAGTGAAATATGCTCTGGTCAGCTTAAAAATACTAGAACAGTCTTTTGATATTTGAGTGAGACACTCAGGGGTCGATTGATTAATATATAACATGTTTGTAAGGAAATGCAAGAAAATGTATATTTTGTATAAGGTCCCTTGGACATTTATTCTTAAACGCCATTCAATTTTTTATCAGTAGCGTTATTCTACCATGACGATGTATGTTTCTGTTCCAGTTTTATTTTTATTCTTCAACGTTGTCCTAGCGGTACATCTTTTAAATAAATATATATAACATTTAAAAACATAACATAAGACAAATATTGGATGAAAAATATATAAAGGTGATATACAAAAATAAGATAATGTGTACAATACCTATAAGGTAATACGGGGACATATCTTTTTTCAAATCATCTATACAGTAACAATTATAAAAAACATTTATAAATCATTAACGTCCGGGCTTACATTGTATTTAAATGTATACATTACGAATGTATTGACAAAAGTTCTTAATATTAAACAAAGTTTGAAATTAATAAACATTAAAATTGACCTTTAATTGAACATTTTGGTGGTGTTTCCCAACTCCCAGTGTCAAGGCAGCTTATTGCTCCGTTTCCATCATATCCTCTACCACAGACCAGAGAAGCGATTGATCCAAACGTTGTTGCGTTGAAGTGCAACTTACCATTGGTCACATTTAATGGAGACCCACAGTCTGAATAATTGTCAAATTCATAAGTTAAATTTCAAATTTATATCATGACGTAAAACATAGGCGGAAAATGGTTTATATTTTTGTAATGATTAACAAGAATACCTAGAATGAAAGTGTTCCTCAGTATATTCTATTGAAAGCGGGTGGGGCATGAGTGAAATGATCGTACTATGAAGAAGAAATAGCTTCTTTATATTTTGCCCCTGAAAATGTTATCCTATTTCCGTACACTATTTATATAAAAACTGTATAATTTTACCGTTATTTTGTTTCAAAAGTAAACATCATCAGACATAGCTAAAAACACTTTAATTCATATTTCATATAAACACGCCAAAATGTATGCAGAAAAGCGTGTCAGGTTTCAAAAAGCACGAATAACATCAAACTTTTTAACAAGGGTAATCTACTGTTTCCTGTTGCACCCATGGCCACATAAAAACCAAATTGTAAGCGCGCATGTACTAACACAGGACGACATGTGGTAAAAAAATCATAATAAATCTTATAAAGAATGTTGTTCTTTGTTGAGCTACAAATGTGAGTGAAATATGCTCTGGTCAGATAAAAAATACAAGAACAGTCTTTTGATCTTTGAGTAAGACACTCAGGAGTCGATTGATTAATATATAACATTTTATGTAAGGAAATGCAAGAAAACATATATTTCGTATAAGTGTGAAATACTTGTAAAGTCCAACGTAAATAAACGAAGTTTTGGGCCGGACACTATTTTTGCAGCAAGGTTATGTTGTTACCTTGACCTTCAAAGTAGCGACCCAAACGTTGCACTCGACATGTTTTCTCAATATTGTGATTATTACTGTGATAAAGTCCTACAATCCAACTTCAAATAACGAAGTTATGGACCGGAATTTTTCGGGGAGCACAACAATTCAAAAATATATAGATTTTAAAATCAGAGAAGTTTTCAGTTTCATATGTAGTTGGGCGCCGCCATTTTCAATGTAACACTTTGACAAAAGGCGGGTATTCCGATAACGGAACGATCGCAGCTTTTCGACTTATAAATAATCGTCCAGGTGTTTCGTGTGAAAACAGAAGTAGTGCATGTAATACCGGATGACACCTTCAAAAAGGAAATGTTAAGTAAACAATGAAGGATTTTTTAACCGACTTTCCTGCTCATAAGCTTTGCCAAATTTCATATTAAAGTAAGAACATAATAGAATGAAACAATATAAAGATCATGATAAAACACAAATTGTGTAAAATACTTATTAAGTAATACTGTGTTATTCTCGATAGATCATTTTCAGATATTCAATACAGTCATACATACAACACATTTATAACTCATTAACGTGCGGCATTTCATTGTAGTAAAAATATACATTACTAATTTCTTGACAAAAGTTCCAAATAAATACATAGATTCAAACTGATATTAATTTAGACTGACCTTTAATAGAACATATCGGTGGTGTTTCCCAACTGCCAGTGTCAAGGCAGCTTATTGTCCCGTTTCCATCATATCCACTATCACAAACAAGGGAAGCGGTTGATCCAAACGTTGTTGCGTTAAAGTGCAACTTACCATTCGTCACATTTAATGGAGACCCACAGTCTGAATAATTGTTAAATTCATTAGTTAAATTTCAAATTTATATCATTACGTTAAACATATCGAAAAATTGTTGATATTTATTGTAACGCTTAACAAGAATACCTAGAATGAAAGTATTTCTCAGTATATTCTTTTGACAGCGAGTGGGGCATGAGTGAAATCATCGTACAGTGAACAAGAAATAGCTGCTTTATATTTTTCTCCGGAACATTTTATCCTATCTCCGTACACTTTTCATAAAAAAGGCATAATTTTACCGTTATTTTGTTTCAAAAGTAAACATCATCAGACAAAGCTTAACACACTGTAATTCATATTTCATAAAATCACGCCAAAATGTATACAGAAAAGCTTGCCAGGTTTCAAAAAGCACGAATAACATCAAACTTTTTAACAAGGATAATCTACTGTTTCCTATTGTACCCATGGCCACATAAAAACCAAATTGTAAGCGCGCACGTACTAACACAGGACGACAAGTGGTAAAAAAATCGTAATAAATCTTATCTTTGTTGAGCTACAAATGTGAGTGAAATATGCTCTGGTCAGCTAAGAAATACAAGAACAGTCTTTTGATATTTGAGTACTCAGGGGTCGATTGATTAATATATAACATTTTCTTTAAGGAAATGCAAGGACATATATTTTGTAAGAGGTCCCTGGGACATTTATTCTTTAACGGCATGAAACAGAATCATTTTTTTTATCACTAGTGTTATTTTACCATGACGTTGTATGTTCCTGTTCCAGTTTTTTTTATTCTTTAACGTTGTCCTAGCGGTACATCTTTTAAATAAATATATAAAATATCTAAAAAAAATAACATAAGACACATATACAAATATTGGATGAAAAATATATGAAGGTGATATACAAAAATAAGATAATGTGTACAATACCTTTAAGATAATACGGGGACAGATCTTTTTTCGAATCACCTATACAGTAACAATTATAAAATACATTTATAAATCATTAACATCCGGCCTTACATTGTAGTTAAATGTATACATTACGAATTTATTGACAAAAGTTCTTAATATTAAACAAAGTTTGAAATAAGTAAACATTAAAATTGACCTTTAATTGAACATCTTGGTGGTGTTTCCCAACTGCCAGTGTCAAGGCACCTTATCGCTCCGTTTCCATCATATCCTCTATCACAGACCAGAGAAGCGATTGATCCGAACGTTGTTGTGTTATAGTGCAAATTACCATTGGTCACAATTAATGGAGACCCACAGTCTGAATCATGGTTAAATTCATAAGTTACATTTAAAACGGATATCATGACGTAAAACATAGGCGAGAAAAGGTTTATATTTATTGTAACGACCAACTAGAATACCTAGAATGAAATAGTTCCTCAGTATATCTTATTGACAGCGAGTGGGACATGCGTGAAACTATCGCCCAATTAACTAAGAAAAGCTTCTAACTATTTTGTTTCGCTTAAAAAAATATTTAATTTGTAGCGTTCCCTTATCATAAAGTTGTATTGCCCTGTTCAAAATTTTACTTTTTTAGCGTTGTCCAAGAGGTACATTTCTGAATAGCTAAATAAAAAACTTCAATAAAACGGGAAACCAAAGACCGTGTCTGCGAAGCGAATCCTGAATTTGCATTGCCCGTTCATAGACGCGTAGATCTAAAAGAAAATCAAATAAAAATGAACAAGAGCCAGTTCAACCGGGAGATCCCGGAATAGGTTTTGGACACAGGAAGGTATACCTTTTGAAGTGTCAGAGTCATGTCACAGACAAAGTTCAAAGTGTAAAAACAACCCAAATGTTGTCCGCGACACGCCGTCTTAATATGGTGATCATTTCTTTGAAATAGTTGTAAAATCTGACTTGAAATAACAAAGTTATGGGTCGGACATTATTATGCAGGAAGGTCATGCTGTGGCCTTGACCTTCAAAGTAGCAACTATAATGTTGCGCGCAACACATCTGTCGCGTCTTAATCTGGTGATCATATGCATTCTCGATATTTAAAAGTCACTTTTTGGTAACAAATGGATAAATGTGGATTATTTTGTCAAGTTACTGAATTCATGGCATTAATGAGTGCTTAAGTCTGAGAAATAAAAACAAGTCAACAGTTAATGTTGAACAGATGATGTATTTATAGCATTTCCAGATATAATCATGGAGGAGAAACAAATAATATGCGTTGAATACTACCTTTGATTTTGCACCTTGATTCTTCCCATTTCCCTGTGTTCAAGCAAACTATTTTCGCTTGATTTGGTTTATACCCTGGAAAACAGTTCAAAGTTGCTGTTGCCCCAACCGTCGATGTCGAATTATTGTCAAGAATTACTTTTCCTTTACGAACGTTCTCAACAGGCCCACAATCTGACGATGTTTTGAAAAACAATTAGAATCATTTTCAATTAGACATTCTGGCAAACTAAACGATGACTTCCATATTCCTGCATGAAAGTTAATTTAGAAATTTATGGTAATTTTATTAAGTAAAAGAACGTTATATTATCCCTTGATACTTGAATAACGTTGTTTCCAAATGTCTAATTAAAATGATTGTCTTATGTGCAATCTAAAGGTAAAATTCTCTGTGGAAAGTTCCAGTAGAAACTTGTGATATCTGTATTGAATGGCAAGGATGCCATTTTAAAATTAATTATTTACATCTACATTAAATAGAAAAGGATGGGCACAATAAGAAAAATTAGGGTATTGTTATTGCGTTGTCAATATTTTATGAATCTTACCAAACGATGGTTCGAATTAAAGTCTTGATCTCTTTTAAATTATATATAAAAAGCCTGCTTAACATATGTTACGACAATATAAAGAATATACAAACCCTTTGGATATATAAGTGTTTGATGAAGGAAAACAGTCTATGAAAGACAACTTAACAATTGGATCTTTTTTAATATTATATTAGTTTAAATGGCAATAATGGCAAACGATACCGAAGCTCCTAGATTTGATACACATGGGTCAAGATATATATACTTAAATACTTTCCCTGAAATAAGTACCAAATTTTACCACTTATAACATTAATTTTATTTGTAGAATCACTTGAATAGGTTAATCAATCATACAAATCATAAAATCATTGGTTTGTCAATTTTAAAACGTAATGAAGATGACTCTATGAATGGCGGAACTTTTGCTTAGCCATTTCAATTCTTGTTTTTCTTTTTTTGTTTGTTTTTAAATTTTGGTTTTTTTAATTTTATTGACCTATTTCATACATTTGTTTGGTCATAACAAGTTGGTCAATCATTGTAGTCATCTTCCTTGGAATACAAAGTAAACAACATTTCTGTTACCAAATCAACCATCACAGAGAACTTGAGCCTGGCTCGCAACATGATCTGACCTGCAGCTGCTTAGCATTTCCAGCATTGCTACTTATAAATAAATATCTATTCTTTATGCATTTCAAGTGGGTGGGGGAATACAATAATTCCTCTCTTTTTTTCTCATTTATAATCTAATATTTATGTTTATATGTAAATAATCACAAAGTTCTATTGTTCTGTATTGTATAAATAGTTCAATTGTTTTAATATCATTTTAATTATGTATGTTATGATTTAAAAAGTACCTTTTATTTTGCAACTTGATTTTCCCCAGTTTCCAGTTTTTAGGCACTTTATTTTTCCCCGGCTTGCCTTATAGCCAGGATCACATTGAACTGTCGCTGTTGCCCCCATAGTCGATGATGCTGCATCGTCTAAGGTAATCTTCCCATTTTGGATATTTTCAACGGCTCCACAATCTGCAATTGTCAGAGCATCTATATCTCATTCTATGTTAAATTAAGTGTCACAAAGTGCCAATTTGTACACATTTGAAAAAAATAAAAAGCAAGTACATATAAAACAAATACTGTATGACTTTCAATTAATTAATTAATTAATTAATTAATTAATTAATTAATTGTAAAAGGCATATATAAATAAATATGATGAGTATGTCCTATTAAAAAGAAACTATATGTAACCTAATTTACATGATAAACTAAATAATCGAAACATTTGTGGTAAAAAAATAATAAAAATAAAAATAAATTCGTGAAATATTTATACAGTAACAACGATTTAGAGAAACAATTAATATAAACAATAAGAAGAAAGAAAGTATATATTGTAATACACATTTGTGTGCAAATGGTACACAACTTATCTCTTTGTATTTTCAATTACAGTACATATGCCTTACAGGTACATATTATTATGGCCCAGTATAAACAGTTGTTGGGCTTTACGTCACCGCACCAACAGAGTATAGGTCACATGGCAATGTTTCAAGCCTCTTAGTTTCGATACTGCAGGGTTCGAGATAGATATCCCTGAAATTAGTGCCAACTTTTACCAATGAAAACATTTTCTTAATTTGTATGTAGCCTTATTCGAGTAGGAAACACAATCATAAAAACATAAGATCTTTGGTTTGTCGTTTGCAAATTATCCAATTATTCGTTTGTTTTCTTTAAATTCCTTATCAGTTTCAAATTATTGATCATATTAGTGATTAGCTTGTCCGTGCTCTGCTTTGTGCCCTGTCGTTTTTGGTGGGGTCCTTGCCACTGGTTCTTGTTGCTTGGTCGTGCGGGGGTTGCGTTTATTGAACACCGCCTGTCCTTGTTGATCTTGTCTATCATATTTTAAATACATAATATAATATAATTCTACGAATGGGGAGACGTCCTTTGCTGAGCCATTACAGATCAAGTGCTGTTAAATTTTCTATTCTCAAGTATTTTCTTTTTGCCGATTTTAAGACATTCTTTTGTTGATAACTTGTCGGTCGATCATGGTGACCAGCTTCCGTTCAATACTTATCAGTTATTAAAAACTTCTCCGCAAGTAATCAAGAAAAATCAGATAACTTGCGCTGGCTCACCACAAGATTGTTCCAGCAGCATCTAAACAACTTAGCATTGTTACTTATTAACATATATCTTTGTTAATTGTTGTTCATGTGAGAGAGGAAATCAATCTCTGTTATTTTTTTTTCGAACTTTTGTAAATAATCTAATCTACGGAAGCGTCCTGGTGCCAATTTAACATGTTCTATAAAAAAAGATAACTCCTACGTAGGACTTTGTAACTCCTACGTAGGACTTTATAACTCCTACGTAGGAGATAAAAAAACTAATTAGGAGTTAACTCCTACGTAGGACTTTAAAAGTACCTTTTATTTTGCAACTTGATTTTCCCCAGTTTCCAGTTTTTAGGCACTTTATTTTCCCCCGGCTTGCCTTATAGCCCGGATCACATTCAACTGTCGCTGTTGCCCCCATTGTCGATGTTGATGCATCGTCTAGGTTTATTTTCCCATTTTGGATATTTTCAACGGCTCCACAATCTGAAATTGTCAGATTAGAAAATAAGAAGCATCAGTATTTCATTCATAAAGTGCCAATTTACACACATTTGAAAAATTATAGGACAAACATATATAAAACAAATATTGATTAGTATGACTTTCAATTAATAAATAAATTAATTAATAAGTTGTAAAAGGCATATTTAAATACATTTGATAATTATATCCTATTAAAAAGAAACCATTTGTAACATACTGAACTAAATAATATAAATCCTTGTGTTTAAACAAATCGAAAACAATTTCGTCAACATATTTATACAGTGAGATACTATAAGAAGAAAAAAGTCTACTAGATAGTTGTTATAAACATCTGTATGCGAATGATACACAACTTATCTCTGTATATTATTAGTTATAATACACATGTATTGTTTGTAATATGGCCAAGCATAAAGAGGTTTACTTTCAACGCACCAACACAGTATAGGCCATAAGGCGACTATCCAGCTTTACTGGTGGAGGAAGACCTCAGCATTATAGACACCTTTGTAGAACAACCGAAGTCCCGTAAGCTAGATACAGTTGTAAGCTTATTGTTCCTGTAAACCATGTAAACTGTATATAATTTCACAACAACCAGGCTGTTGATCGTTTTCTTCTCAACCACATACCACTGTAATTACCTTACCTGTCACATAGTGAGAATGTATGTTATTTGTTATAAAAAGCTAGCCCTTACCTTTTAATTCGCACTTTGGCTTTTCCCATTTCCCGTTTTCTAGGCAAACGATTTTCTTTTGAGATGCCTCATACCCAGAATCACATCTAATAGTCGCTGTGGATCCTATTTTTGTCGAAGATTTTTTGTTCAGCTTCACCTTGCCATTCCGAAAAGTTTTAATTGGACCGCAATCTGATAATATTAAAAAAAAACGTCTGAAGAGTATATGCATTACATGTCAAGTTGTAAGAAATGTATATAGTAGAGAAACAGTGATTTTTTTTCAGAAGAGAAAATTTGGAACACCTTTACTTACAGTGGATAAATACAGTAGGGATTTTTGTTGTTTTTGTTTCTTCTTTTTTTTTGTTTTTTTTTTCTTAGTCGCCAGACTGTGTCAACAGTATTTTAGAAATTATTTTGAGAAAGTTAATAAAATATAGACAGTATTTTAGAAATTATTTTGAGAAAGTTTACAAAATATAGAACAGAGTGATGGCATTGAAATAATATTTTTCTAGATAAATACCAATAATGACCGAGTTGATCCAGTTAACTTGCGGTTTTATGACTGCAATAGATTGAAGCTGTGATGAGCAAGGATCAGATGATGTGACTGCAAGTCCTTGCAGAATTATTTGTTTTTTCTTGGATCCAAACACTGGACTTCCTGGCTAAAAAATTCATAAAATATATCTTTACAATTGATTTTTAGCAACTGGGTGCGGCACGAATTTTCACATCATTCAGAACTGACAGTACATCTTTGCTTTAAAATTGTAAATTATGAATAAGTATGGCAAATTAGTTCTATAAGAACCATTTCGTATAATATGGTAAATTGATAATCACAGCAAGAACTTTTATGCGAGTCACAAAAAGGAAGAACATAAAGTGCCGCGTTCAAAATGTACAAGTCCTCAGACCTCTACTTCCTCTTCACAACTAATTAGCTTATCTTAGATGTGATCATCTTCCAAAAAAAAAAAAAAAAAAAAAAAAAAAAAAAAAAAAAATCGAAAAAGTAAGTCTGAAAAGACATGTTTTATTTTTTCTCAGGATATAATAATGCATTTTAAGATTTCGAAACAGCCATTAGTAATGAGTTTTCTTTAGACAATTGAAATTTCTTATAGAATCTTCCTAAATTAATCACTAAGATTTTTAAATGATTATTTACAAATTATTGTTATAATGCGATGCGAATAAGATTAGAAATACCCAAGTACTACTTAATCCTTTTTGGACAAGGTTAATTGTGTAATGAACGGAAGCGTATCAGGTGCCTCACAGTGTTGCGTTGCAGATGTTTTGCGGCGCTTAAGACGACTTATTATTTATTTCGCATTTATGAAAGATGTTTCTTGTGCATTTCTCAAAAAAATTTACTGACACAGCAATGCGAGAAGCTCTTTAGCATTCGCAACGTGAAATAATTTCTCGGCGTCAATATGTTCTCAGTAAGCTTTTGTCAGTATTATAGCCAGCAAAAAATATCTTCGCAAAACACAACTGTAGGCACTGATACGCTTCCGTAATTTATTTAGGAAGACGCAAAGATGTTACTCGCATTGACAAATCGTTCACGTAATTCAATAAAAGTTTTTTCGCAAAGATTAAAAACTTCTATGTATTACGTATTTATCATTACGTATTCATTGGATGTTTTAGTCACAACAAGATGGAACAAGTTGACATGACATGAAACTTTTAGATAAGTGGAGGCCCTGATAAGCTTCCGTAGTGAATACTGTAAAATAACACAATTTCAATTTCAACGTACTAGACATCTAGCTTTTTTCTTCATGTTGCCTTGAACACATTTATGTGTCTCGCCAAAATTACCATCAATTTCTTCCTTCTCACATTGAGTGCCTCTGACAAAATCGACTTCATTTGCGATAATTTTATCTGTAATATCAAATCAAAAGGATACAGTTATTACCATAGTTATCGGGAAGGAATCATCAAACAGAGCATTTGAGCCGTGTCACGACAAAACCAACATAATGGGTTTGCGACCAGCATGGATCCAGACCAGCCTGCGCAGTCTGATCAGGATCCATGCTGTTCGTTATCAATTTCTCTACTTGTAATAGGGTTTGTAAGCGAACAGCATTGATCCTGACCAGACTGCGCGGATCCGCAGGCTGGTCTGGATCCATGCTTGTCGCAAACCCATTATGTTGGTTTTGTCGTGACACGGCTCATTTATCTAATACTTACTAAATATTTCATTGTTGATAACAAAATATCTATTCCAAAAGTTTATCAACATTTTGAGGAGTTAAACCATTTTATCAAGAAGATTGTTGTTTATTTTCTGAATCGCATATTAATATTTCTTTTTCTTTCAGTATGTTCGATTGTTGATAACAAATGTATACTTTGAATGACAAAGCCACTATTCATTTAATTACTTTACTTCTAAACAAATAATGAAAGCGTTATCTAAAATTCTAACACTATCGGATTTTTTCATATATAGACAAAGAAGGCCTGAAGCGTGCATTATTCTACAACAATGCACTCGCCGTTCTTATTCCTCCCTGTGTATTTTCACATTGAGGGCGCCATTTTGTTTAAAAAATCTGATAAATAAAAACATTTTTTGTCGAATTTTGTTGTGAAAGCTATCTAGAATGAAAGAAAATGGTGTAACTAAGAAAATGAATCCGAACACCAATATCTTTAATTCAGTCGTTAACGCTGTACAGACGTTTAAAGTGTTGTGTATTTGACGTCACAATATAGCGCCAAACAGCACGTGCAAAACAATCAAATCAAGCACGCTATTTAAATGTCGCAAACAAGTTAAGTTCCACATTTATTTCACTTTTAAACATTTTTATTTTGCTTGAAAAATTATAGAGTGAAATAAAATAAACAAGCAAAGTTTTACCAACGTTTTCAAAATTTGTTTTTCTTAAAATGTTTCTACACACGGTAGATTTATCGACAGCTTTTTTCAACCAACTGGGACAGCCTTTAAAGAACGTTTCTATGGGAAACTCTGAGGCGAAAACAAATTAAACCACCAAACATAGAGTCCAACTTTATAATAATAATTATATTTTTCTTGACGTGTTAGAATGGAAATAGATATTAATTCTTCGTGCATTGTTGTAGAATAATGCACGGTTTGAGTTCAAATGCGTTGTAAAATCATCACAAAGGCCGATTGGCCTGAGTGATAAATTACAAAGCATTTGAACGAAAAACGTGCATTATTTTACAATAATGCACGAAGAATTAATATCTATTTCCATTCTAACCCGTCAAGAAAAAATATAATTATTATTATAAAGTTGGACTTTATGTTTGGCGGTTAAATTTGTTTTCGCCTCAGAGTTGCCAATAGAAACGTTCTTTAGAGGCCGTTCAAGTGGGTTGAAAAAAACTGTCGTTAAATCTACCGTGTGTAGAAACATTTTGAGAATAACGAATTTTGAAAACGTTGATAAAACTTTGTTTGGTTATTTTACTTCAGTCTATAATTTTCCAAGCGAAATACAAATTATTAAAAGTGAAATAGATGTAAAACTTAACTCGTCTGCGACGTTAAAATAGCGTACTTGATTTTGATTGTTTACGTCTGTACAGCGTTAACGACTGAATTAAAGATATTGGTGTTCGGATTTATTTTCTTAGTTAGACCATTTTCTTTCATTTTAGATAGTTTTCACAACAAAATTCGACAAAAAATTGTTTTTATTTACCAGATTTTCAAACAAAATGGCGCCCTCAATGTGAAAATACACAGGGAGATAATAAGAACGGCGAGTGCATTGTTGCAGAATAATGCACGCTTCGGGCCTTCTTTGTTTATATAGAAAAAATTCCGATAGTATTAGAATGTTGTTTTTAACAATTTTATTGATCAAACTTTATACTTATATCTTATCCTGTCACATTCATAATTTTTATAATTTACCAGAATCGTCTCGATTGTACAGATGAAACGTGTACTCTGAAGATGGTAGCATAGAGTCAGCAAGTGGTGTGAACTTTGTTTTTGTTGGTTCTTTTGCCTTTTCAATCTTAAGAAGGATAAACAACTTTCCAACGGAGTCCTTTAATAGATGAATTGATATCCAACATTGAAATAACATTTTCATAGCAAACGTCAATATTTACCCCCCCCCCCCCCCCCAAAAAAAAAGAGGAAAGAAAAAAAAAAACAAACAAAAAAAAAACAACAGGGTAAGGAAAGACTATTCAATATCAATCTAATACCTGTAGCAAATAGTCTAGTATATGCATTCCGTTTCTATCATATATAATATCATAATATAATTCAGTTAGTCTTTAATGTAAATGTGCCCTTAACTCCTGTAATATGTGAATCGGACATATTGTTTTCAATTTAAGATACTAATGAAAAATATCAGTTTGAGTGATGATATGTTAATCTTACGAATGGTTTCAAAAGGAATACGTGAAGTTAAAACCGTGATATAAAAAGTTGACAAAAACTGAAATTCAAGACGTAAACTCAATTTGTGATATTTTATAAATAAAGTTGTAATAATTGATTTGTACGGTGGACGTTAAAGGGACTCTATATAGTGCGTTCATGAGATGCAAGACAACTGATTTTTGTTCGATTTGATTAGATGTTTTAACACACATCAATTCATTTTATTCACAAAGACATTTCTAAGTATTTTAAATATTTCTTAATCATCTTTTGCATATCTTTTTGTTTTAAACATCCAAGTAATTCTATTTCAGAAATTTAAATTGTATATGTGTATGTTTTTAAACTTTAGTGGAGTCTCTTTTAAATGAAGCACATATTTGTTACAGTGCAAATGTATTTAGAAAGATCACCAATTGTCATAATATTAAAGATTGTCTTTTAATTAAACATCATACGAATGAGAAATTTTACACAAATGTCTCTTAGATTAAAACATCACACTTACCCGGTCTTCGGCAATAACCTTCCTTGAACCATCTTTGTAAACAATTCTGTATTTTGTAAGCTTGCTAAAATTTAGAAAACACATGACTTGTTGTTAAAGTATATAATCATCCATTTTATTAGATGTTAAAGCTTTTTTCACATATAACTGGGCAATTAAGATTTGTTTTATGCTTATACTGGCAGGTCATATAATCATCCCATATTCGTGATCAATCGTTGTAGAGCAGGTAACAAGTGTCGTGTGATAGACGTATAAGTCACCATCTACCTTTACTTCAGAGTTGTTTTCTGATCCTTCAATGATCATTGATTCCAACAAATTTAGTGCGGACGATTGAAAACCGTTTAAGCCGGTGCTAGGTTGCGTGAGGGATATTGCACTTTTCCCTCATGAACAGGCTCATTCAAACCAATTCTGCAATTCCATGTAATTATGCTGCTTTATTTCCTTCCAATGAAATTCCCCTTTCCCAGACAGTTAGATGCATTGGTAAAATATAAATAAGACAAAAATAAACGATCATCAAGTAATAAATAATTATATGATAATTCAATATGGGAGAGAACACTCATTAGCTTTCATACATTTCTGTCCGATCCCAAAATGTATTGTGTAAATATTGTTCATCATACATAATGTAAATTTACCGAATAAATATGTTTAAACAAATATAATAAAATGTCTTACAATTTTTTATCAATGCAGTCAGCAAGGGTAAGAACCCAATCGTCAGAGAGTTGTACACCTGCGCACACCTCGTCATTGCCGAATTTTATATACAGTAACCAATTTTCTACTGCCTTCAAATTGCCAGCTTTTTGGGGTCGTATCTCTTGTGTCCCGACGCTGTTTATTTGCCCTTTAGATACCATATATAAGAATATCATGTGTGTTACTAAATTATAATATTCGTAAATTCATTGTTAATGCATTTCAAACCAGACAAAGTTAGTTAAATTCATAAATTTCAGACTTCACATTTTTGTGATTAATTATGTACATGTTTATATATTATATATTGTAAATATATTTGTCATCATAAACTTAACAAGTGCAGCTAACGATTGCAATATGTCGTAGCATTTCATTACATGTGCTTAATTTAGTTTATTATTTAAGGTGACTTATAGGCCCATTGGGCCGGTAGTTGACTTATTTTTTTTTTCAAAATATGTTCATATTGTATGTTGTAACACATGTCACTATAATCAAACATATATCTATATCTAACATATAAAATACAAATTCAAAACGTAAATTCCTGTCGGATTATCAATCAAGTAATCTGCTACCCGCTTCTGTAATAAAATAATATTATTCTAAAGTCAATTGCTTTTTTAACTAAAAGACGAAAATATAAGTATTCGTATAGTAATTATCATAAACAATGAATATACTTACATACAATGCACATAACAATAATGTTAAAAACACCCATTTTGTCCATACGTGTGTATAAACTAATGAATAACTGCCACAGAGTCTCCAGACAGCATTATTTATATCTTCATTTCAGCATGTCAACAGAATAAAATGCCTTAAACCAAATATTTTATATCAAATAATTGCTTTTTAATTGAATAAATTATTTTTTTACATTTATTCTTGCGACATGTCAAATTCTACAAAGGTTCAATTTTCGGACACTGAATGTGTCATTTAATTAGTAAACGTTGCAATAATGCAGACCATTGTGGAAAGTACCTTAAGCTTACCACGTTCGTTCCTGCAATTAGTTTTATAAATTCTATTCCACTGCCAATTATTATTCTATATAAGGTTTTGTTTCTTTTTTTAATATGTAAATTAAATTTCCTGGGACCATTTCGTTTTGAGTTCAAACCCCGTCAAGAGCAAGCCATTGTTTCCTTTGGCAACAACCTTTACACCATAAAATTGCTCAATAATGGTTGGTTTCAGGGACGGATTTGAGAGTGTTTCTCAATTATTGATCGGATGAATTGCGATTTACAATCACTATTTGAAATAAAAAAGAAAAGCTGTCCCTGTGTTTAACTGAAAATTGAAAAAAAATAGATACCGACTCCGGTTTAGATAATCAATAATATGATGTAAAAACAAATAAAATAAAAAATGGTATTTAAAATTAAGGTAGATGCATACCTTAATTTAACTTTTGTGCATATATATTTTGATAGGGGCATCTGAGGCTAAATTGTTCATCGAACCGGATTTCAAACCACTTGCCTCCCTCACCCCCATGGGTATGGTTCAAAAACCAACAGAGACATTTGAGCCGTGTCATAACAAAACCAACATAATTGGTTTGCGACCAGCATGGATCCATGCTGTTCGCTTACCAACCCTATTACAAGTAGAGAAACTGATAGCGAACAGCATGAATCCTGATCAGACTGCGCGGATGCGCAGGCTGGTCTGGATTCATGCTGGTCGCAAACCCACTATGTTGGTTTTGTCGTGACGCGGCTCAAATGATGTGATCTTCCACTAGTAAAGCTGTAACATCGCCGTAAACACCAACCACAAAAGAAAATAGTTTATATAAAAGCATCGTCAAAAGTTTAATACTTTGTTAAATTATTTCTTTACATAACTCCCTAAAGGCATTTAAAAAAAAGATTTTCATTTATATGACCTGTTTTTTTAAAATATTTACCATGTTTTGAACCATTCTTACATAAATATTCAATTATTTTTTAGCTTCAATAACGAGATAATATCTGCTCAAATATCTCATATCGTTTGTGACTTTAATTAAAACAGTTTGATGAGTTATATAAACAAAGAATTACACGTGTATATATATACAATTAGAATATTGTTTAAAGGCACATTATGCGTCAGAAATGCTATCATTTTTATTTCTCAAAATTTTAAATATTTGGTGTCTTGTTACAAGTTCCACAAAAAATACTTATTTGCAATATAAATGAACTATTTTTGCATCTTTTGCTTTGCTGGCAATTGGTATAATTATAATGAATTAGTATTTTGTATGGAAGTCAAAATACTATTTGTTTACATTTTTCTACCTTTACGACACATTACTGCACATTCAGCACTACTTTCTTCAGCTGTTAAATATCCTACATGTTCTAAATCCATTATTAAAACATTATTAAACATGTGTTTTACATTTCTAAAGTATTTAATAAAAAAGGATTTCTGAGGCATAATGTGCCTTTAAATAGTTAGAATCACTCCAAGTTCCGTACATGGCTATTTTATTACCATACATTGAGAACTGGTATCATTTAGTGTGATAACAACTAATTTATTACAACTTGGCCCCCAAACATTGAAACATTGGTTTCATATATTGTAAAAATGAATTAATATATCGAAAATATGGATTCATATGATGATACCTGCTACTGTGGTACTATACATATAAGACTTAGAGACAACAAACTTATAAATTATATTGCTAAAATGCATACACACACTGACAATAGGGTTTCATATAAATTATTGTAACCGTGGATTAATATAATTGCTTTATAATGTAACCAACGCCGTGTATATTGTAATTATCATGATATGCTGATATAATTGTCTATGTCAGTCGGTGGTACTTTCTTAAATCGTTCGGCAATAATATATCACTTTTCCAAAATAAGATTTATTCGAAGGTATAGGTATTTTATCCAAATATATTGTTAAGTCTACTACAGATAATTTGGAAGCATTATCAAACATTTGTCACTACATTCAATCAACTGATTTAGCCATTAGTATCATATAATCTTGATATCTAAGGTAACCTCCCAATGAATTTCTACTTAGTTCATTGCTCAGCTTTCACACGTGGTCAGCAATGATATGCATTGTTCTATAAATAATCAGTTTTAAAGGCGTCTATATAAATCACTTTCGAGTTCGCCTCCTGGGACCAACCAGTACTGGTATCATGTGAAGTTACACGGTTGTGTACCGTGTAAGGCTCGAACTCATGATCTCTGGGTTGGGAGGCAGACACATTAAGCATTAGACCACCACCCATCTCAAATAATATTAGTATAATTTCACACAATCTTTGAATTTTTAAATGAAGATATTAGCAATACATTAAAAAAACATGAACCGTTATATCTTAATACATATGATAATTTATCAATTTGATGATCTTACGAATAGATTAATATGAACTATTGACCAACATGTATTGTGCTAACTATTTTAGCGTAGGTTGGAATATTAACCTGCGGATATGATAAATAATTAACTCAGTCCATATCAATGATACAAAAGAAAGCAAAAATGCTTTCAATATTGAACCAATTAAAAAATCAAATGCCAGCGGCCTGTTCATTTCTCTTTTATTAAGTAAGATAAATATTTAGCTAAGTATGCTTGAAATATTAAAAATTAAATCAATTATAAAAAATATTTAGTTTTATATGCAAAGTAAATTACAATAAATTTGTCAAACGCAATAACAATTTCAATTCAATTCAATTCAATTATTTTATTAGCATATAAACATAAACATGTTCATCGCCATACATTCAATTGCGGCGGTTACATACAACATGAGAAGAGCATGAGTATTAATACATCTATATCATGTGTATATTAGTAGTATTATTCTATCAACATATATTAACATTAATACACCAATAGCATGTGTATATAGTAGTATCGTTATATCGACATATATCCCACACAATGTTTATATAAAACATAAACAGTAACGAAAAAAACACAACACCAAAAACCAAAAATAACAGGAAAAAATTGATTTGATACACTGACCTACATTATCGTGTTGATTGTCGATTGGTGGATACTTTACTGTCATATGCATGATATACATGTTAGTTTGATTTTGCACGTGAATTCAGTGCCATATAATGTTATCATTTTTTTCTTGTTATAAAAAGGCCAAGGTATGAGATCAATTAGTTTCATGTGGCTACATTGTAAAATACAAATACATGATCATTGAAATAGGTAACTAACACATATTTCTAAATAAAGCATATCATCCGGTACGTTTCTTATTTGCTATATAAATAAATTTTGCAAGTTTACACAGAATACTTGTTTGATTTGAAGCTAACTATCCTTTAAATTTTTGTAAAGATGGCCAATTGCAATAATATTTTGGACAGACCAATACAAAGTGATATTCGTCTTCTACTACCTTCATATTGCAATACACACATTTTCTATTACAACGTTCTATATTTCGAAATCTACCTTCCTCAATAGCTAATTTATGAGCTGAACAGCGTAATCTTGATAGAGCAATACGATGATTATTATTAACAACACAAGATAAATATTTTTCCTGACATATGTTTGTTTTAATTTTCTTATATGTACTTAGTTTAGGCATATTATCTAACATACTATAAAAAACTTGATAATATTGATCATATAATCTCTCAACAACTTTATCTATTTGAACTCTAGTGACAGACATATCATTCCATAAATAACTAAAACCTAGTTCATCAAGCAGATTTTTCACACCCGAAGCCCAAGATCCCAATGAATTAGTATTAACTTGATTGATGAAACATTTATATATCAATGTATCTTGGGAGTTCAAAATTCTATACCAATATTTCAATATTCTCCCTTTACGAACAACATCTAATGGAACTCTACCCAGTTCACCAAGAACAGCTATATTTGTAGTTTGAGACCTTACACATAATAATTGTTTACAAAATTTAATATATACCCTCTCAATATCAAGGGGCCTTATGGAATCCCCATATTTCGCATCCATAATTTAATATTGGTAAAATCATTGAATCAAATAGTTTAATCTTCTCGTTAACACCAAGTGGTACAACATCAAATAAGGAGTTCAATGTAAATATGGCACGAAGTGCTTGTTCTGATAAAGCTTTTTGAGCATTATAAAATTTACCATTTCCTGTCAAAACTACACCTAAATAACAAAATTTACTAACAACATTTAACCTTATATCATCATGATATAAATCAACTTGCTCAAACCTATTTCCTAATTTAAAAATCATAGCAACTGTTTTTGTAGTATTTACAGTGACATTCCACTTTAAACAATATGACTTTAATTTATTCAATAATATTTGCAAGCCATTAGACGAATATGAAAACAACACAGTATCATCTGCGAACATGAGCATAAATATTTGCAATTCTTCTAAAGTTATTGTATCAGCCTTATTATCAGCAATATACCTTTCCATGTCATTTATAAACAGTATAAAAAGCAAGGGAGACAATGTTTCGCCTTGCTTAATGCCCATATAACTATCAAAATATGAAATTAAACAAATTAAACAGAAAATTAGTACAGTTGAAGAAATAAAAAGAATTGTGAATAAAATTCAATTAACAGTTTCTGACCTTGATTTAAAGTTCAACTCTCTTGAAACTCGATAGGACGCAACCGAAAAATCATGTGAATTTGTTTCAAAGCAATTTGAGACACATATCAATGAACTTGCTCATGTCAAAGGAGATATCAAAAAAGTACGGAAGGCTTGTGACACTCTAGAAATTAATTCAGAGACAATATC